CCTTGTGCTTGCCAGGCAAGCACTTATTCTACTGAGCTATCTCCTCAGCCCCAGCTATCTCCCCGGCCTCTCTTTTTGGAAATCTCAGACCGTTGCCAGATTTTGCTTTTTTAGCACTATTAACAATGGCACATATTTATCTCCTTCATAGTTTCTAATTTTTGATTGCCTTGGATCTTAGGGGGTTGTGTGTTTCAATGTCAATAAATATGTACATCAACCCTGAGAAATTAGGTTGCAAGATTCTAGACAATGGAGAAATAAGAGGGCTAAAAAAGACATCAGTTCTTTTGTACTTCATACACAAAGGACTGTTTGCAAACACTGGAGTTGGCTTTCTTTGCATTGAAACTTGGGATTTCCATATGGAGATGCAACTGTTATAAATCCAAGTCAGATTAACTGCCTTCTAGAAATGCACATTGGTTTATAACTTTTATGTTTTGTTGTTTTCCAATATTTTTTTCTTAATACTTTGCAAAAAACAAAATGTTTACTTTTCCCCCCCACAAATGTCAGAACAACTTTACCTGCTAAAGAAGAAAATGTTTTCAGAATCCAGACTCACTGGTAAATTAAAAACATTAGAAGGCTAGTTTCAATCTTAGTGTACTAACTAGCTGTGTTTAGGTAGTTTGCTTAATGGAATTCTGTACTGCAATTTCTTTCATTGGCTAAATGGTGTTTAAAAATACTGGTTATATCCTATACCTCAGTGGTGTTCCAAATTTTCTGATCAAGGAGATTATGGGGCCACAGAGGAAAGTGATTGATGGTGTACAGTGTGCCTAAGGAGAGTCACCTAGAGAGAAAACATTCTCTCAAGCTTCCACAGAGAGCAAATAGGTCAAGTAACGGCTGTGACTCATCCACATGGCTGACACTGACAAAAGATCTACAAACTGAGGTACAGGGTTTCAGGGTAAATCCTGAGGGGAATTGACTGACCTTGTCAGATACAACAGTTACATTTTTTTGTTATATAGGTCTTGCTTTATCTTGGTGTTAACCATCCAGCAGAAAAGTATAAAAATGAGGTGTAAAAAGTAAAGCCATATTAATATGCTGAGCTGTAAAAGGCTCAAGTCAACAACTTCTGACATTGCCAGTTCTGTGGATAACCCACTACTATTATGCATTACTGGACTATCTTGGATTATTTTGCTGAATTTACACACCTACAATATTTGAATGGCAAAGGAATACCCATCTCTGATAAAACTAAACAAAAAAGAGAGATAAAGGACTATTTTGTAGTGAAAAAAATCTTTATATACAAAATAGGATAGATATACAGCTACTTTCTCTTAGTTCAATGAGAAGAAAGATTTGTACTAATGGTGTTTGGACAGGATATTGTGTCTGTATCTTATACTATGAATAACTACTACAAAAATGACAATATGCAATGTATTAATTATTGTAACCGTCCTACTAACCTGTTTTGAAACTGTCTCATTGTTATTTCTTTCTCAATAAAATTAATAAAAAATAAAATGCTAAAAATAAAAGGCTAAAAAATATTGGCAATGCTTATTTCACAGAATTATTGTTCAGGTGGTCAAAATATTTTCTTAAACTATGAACATCATATAAATTACAGGTACCATATCACTTTGGTAATTAGATAATGGCATACAGCTAGTCTAGGGTCAGGATATGGAGATGAAGTAGAGATTAGTATTTAGTCTTCAGTGGTCAGGATGAAGAAAATAGAATTATTAAGAAAAAAAAGATTACTGGGGCAGAGGTTTTTTTCTTCAGCCCCCAAAATAGTAGTAGTAGTGCCACTGAGAGAACAAATTTTTGGGGAAAAAAAATCTGTTTTTCATATACTATTGCTAATGCTGTCAAGATAATTGCTTTGTTAAATTCCTTTTATACTAATAAAGAGAAACTCAAACTTGTACATCTGATGCCCATTATTGACTTATTTTATGATTTATGTTACCAAGACATCAACAGTAGTTTAGTATAAATGAAAATGCTCTAGCTCTGCTCAGAGTTGAGCCCTGTAGCTTCCTGGCTTCAATACTAAATTCACAAAAGCACATATGATAGTTTAGACTTGGAAGACTGACTGTGTAATAAGCAAGCAAAGCTGTAAATATCAGAAAAGATCTCTCCAACATGTCACCAAGCAACGGATCAACAAACTTAATTGCAAAGGATTCTTGAAGGAAAAATTGAAGTAATCAGTATCATCAGGTTACAGTAAAAATCATCTGTACTGGCGGCTGATTTGCAGGGCAACTTGCCTGTTCCTGTTTCTTCACCTGTTAAACAAGAAGCAAGACGAGATTATCACTTAGGACACTTCTTGTTTGAAATGCTATTACTCAAAGTAAGGGGAGAAATTTACAAAAAGCATTCTTTTCGCCCTTGCTAAGATGTAACACACCAATATACTGCAAACCCAGAAAACACAAACGTTACCTTGCACACCAGTCTGACTGTGCAAAGTAAGGAGCAATGGGAGAGAGAGAAACGTTAGACTCTTCAAAAGGTGTATTAAACAAACAAGTAATTATGGAAAAATCCTGCTTCATTTTAAACAGCCATGCAAAGCATGACTTCAGTTGCTAGTGTCCAGTTTCAAAATTATCATTATTATTTGCTTATTATTTCTTAAATCTGAACCGATGAATGCTGCCTTAGGTGTACATAAAAGTCAAGGTCAAGGAAGGAGACATTCTACAAATAAACCAAAATTAAAACACAAGTGATACTACCATTAGATGAAAAATCCCCAACAAATAACATATTGCACAAAGATCAAAGGCAAAACAAGCAAGCAAAAAAGCAAGCATGTTTGCTTAATAGTTTTGGGCTTCTGAGTCTTTCATTTAGTAGGCCCATCCATCCATCCACACCACACTTTTTAACCATGCTATTCTAAGCCGATGACAGCTTCAGCGCCGATCGGGAGTTGAGCGCGGATTCTGTACAGATTCCACAATCCCAGCCAGACTCGCTGCCAACTCTCCTTTTAGAGAAGGACGGGGGCGTTTCCCCTAGGGTGACTTAAATGAAGACGTCAATCTTCAATCTTTTTGTCCAATAAGAAAGAAGCGTTCCAGAAATAAATAAATAAATAAATAAATAGCTAGGAAACGAGTGAGAAGATAAGGAAGTTCCTTTCCTTCCTTTTAAATTTCCCGCACCCTGCCTCCCCAGGCCGTCTCTAAAGCGAACAGCAGCTCGGGAGACCCAGACCGCGCAGCAAGGCTGTTCTGCAGAAGGCTTTAGAAAAGTGGGCGGGGCCGAGTCGGATGAATAACTCGGTGCTCAATTTTTCCTGTCTTCGGCAGCAGTTCCTCCTCCGCTTCGTTACTCGATTGCACACGCGGCCAGGCTCTCGGCCTTCGATTGCTCTGGTCTATCACCCTGGGATGCCGCCTGCCGCCGCCACCGCCGCGGCTGCGGGGCTTGTGGGATCCTCAGCGGAGCGCGAGCCGGAGCCGGGGCCGGAGCCCTGGCCTGAGAGTTAGGGGGTCGGGCCGGTTCATTCCAGAGCGGGCTGCTGCGGACTGGCGGGCTACAGCCAGGGACCACCGCCCCCTCAGGCTGAGGGAGCCGGCTCTCGGAGTCTCTGAGGCGGCGGCAGCTGGAGCCGGTCAGAGGGGGCGGCCCCTGGCGGCGACGCCCCCAAGCCCAGCCCTGCGGGGCCCCGCGCCCTCTTCGGCGCGAGCCTGGGCTGACCGCGGGAGACGCCGGCGGGCGCTGAGGAGGGCGGATCCGAGGGGGCGGGAGGGCGAGCGTGCCCTCCCGGGAGGGACCACACCTGAGCCCGGACCCAGCCCGCGTCGGGCTTCCTCCCTCTGGCCGCAGGTGGGCTGCGGCGCCCGGCCCTCGGCGGTGGGCGGCGGGGACGGAGGTGTGCGGCGTCCGTGTCCCCGCTGCTGCGCCCTCCTCCCCTTCCCGCAGACAGGGCGCCCGCCTGGCCGCCTCGGTCCTGCCCGGCACCATGGAGCTCTCCCCGTCGTCCGGAGGAGCCGCAGAGGCGCTGTCCTGGCCGGAGATGTTCCCGGGGCTGGACTCCGACTCGCCGCTGCCCCCGGAGGATCTGGAAGCGGTTGTCCCAGTCAGTGGAGCCGTGGCCGGTGGCATGTTGGATCGGATCCTTCTTGAGTCCGTGTGCCAGCAACAGAGCTGGGTCCGAGTGTACGGTAAGGACCACAGGCCATCCTTCGGGCTGTTTCTTGTCTGTGCTTGGATTGACACACATTTCTGTAGTCTCATTTCCTATTCTTGGTCTCCAACTATCCCGGGTCAACATCCCCCGTCTCTTTTTTGGGGGGATGCATTTCTGACAAGTTTATCCAGATTAGCACCTGGGTGGAAAAGTGAGCCATGTAGTCTTTGGATGTATCTCTTCAGGCACCCGCAGGGAGTTTATGAAGTTGGTCTCTGCCGACAAAATTTTCAGGTGAATACTTCAGGGTGATTACATCAGGAGTGATTACTTCAGGGGGACTGCCAGTTGATCTTCAAGAAGGTATGCTGGAGCAAAGCTATGGAAATCATGTGAATGGAGTTTCTTTCTATTGTTGAGTGAGGCAAGACTGGAAATGTAGATGTATGAGAAAGCCTAGCGGAGGAAAAGCTAATTAGAAAAATAAAAAGCAAAATATACTAAAACCCGCATTATTTATTTGGTGGAACAGACTTGTCTGTAACCTTTTCCTGAGTGTCACGCTCCAAAGCTAACCCTTTATTCCAATATGTGTGGTTTGTTTTAGATTGCGCATTTCTCCAGGTTTATTTGTAAAGTGCCTGGGTTGCCACTCAGCAGGTTAAAAGTGATGAACACACAAAAACTTTCCCTCTCTGCGTTCTAGTAACCGCCTTTTTAATTAAAACTAAATGATGAGATTTTATTAGGGTGAGACTTGTAGTTGCAGCATTATAACCATACTGGTTTTGAAAACTCATAGCCTGATAATTCGAGGTTTAGCTGTGGCTTTCCAAAATGTTGTAATGGCAAAATGTTTATCACTTAGCTCACATGATCACCAAGACATTAGTAATGTGGCTGCATATAAGATGGCAAATTTGAAGCACCTAGCACTTACACTGTCACATGTACTTGAGTCTGGAGTGACCAAGAACCAAATCGTTTTGGTTTCATCTTTTGCTACAGGGTCTGTTTACCACTCAAGAGTGACCTTGGTGTAGAAGTTGTCTTTTGAGTAGTTCAATTGGATTCATACCCATCACTCTCCGTCTTGTGTCAGTTCTGCCACCAATAGTTAAGTGAATTGAGACAAATTTGGAACTCTGAACCCTAATGTTTTATAAAATGGGTGGACTGGATTAAATGATCTCTAAATGGTCTTTCATAAAAATTGAACAACTCTTCTTAAACCAGTTCTTGTGAATTTATGTATGGACCATTTTGTGTTTTGGTGCAAGTTTGTGTTTTTCAGCCTTATTCTGTTGGTGGAAGAATTAAAGCAAAGAAGTGGGAAGTGATACAAGGTTACCCAGTTCATTCTCAGTAGATAAGATTAAAAATTTTAGTCTGATTTTCCATTTGCCTACTAATCCTATTTAATTGATTGCATATAACAAAGGTTGATGAGAATCTGAAATGAGTTTGAGTTAGTATATACCGTGGTTACATTTTCCTATTCAATTTCTTTTTTTTTTTTTTTTATTTTTTTTTTATTTTTGTGTGTGTGGGGGGGGCCAGCTCAGCCCACCAGGGGGCGGGGCTGGCTGGCATGTGGTGCTGGGGGATTGAACCGTGGTCCCTGTGCTTTGCTAAGCTTGTTCTGAGTAGGTGCTTTAGACCACTGAGCCATCTCACCAGCCCCACAATTTCTTATTCTTACAGACTTCTTTAGCATATACTTTTTATATGATGTTAGAGATAGGGTCATGTTATTTACAAATAAATGATAATTAAATATTTCAATGTCTAAAATTCTGGGCTTTTTATACCTTGTGTTACTGTTGTTTGCATGTAACCTGTATAAATATGTTACTGTTTTTATATTCTGTTGCAGGGCAGGATTTGTTATATGTATAACGTATTTACACACACATGTATTTAACATGTTTTATGGATAGCTAGAATTTGGGAACTTTGTAGCATTCAACTGGGGGTCGAGAGCTTGGATTTTCACTCGGATTTTGCTGTAACTTGTTTAATTTTGGGTGAGTAAAGTAGTCTTAACTTCCTGGCTCTAAATTTCTACATAAAATGTAGAACATAGAGTAATTACTGTACATACACACATATTTACACCCATACACATTTGACACATTTCTTTGCCAAACTACAGAATTTCCGTTGCCTTCCTATCAATTGATAGAAGTTGTTTTTAATTTACTGTTTACTACTGCAGTTTTACTTCCCCTAAGAAGCTTATCCCAGGGGCTGGAGACATGGCTCAGTAGAATAAGTGCTTCCCTGTCAAGCGCAAGGGCCTGAGTTCAATCCCCGGTTTTGGAAAAAAAAAAAAAAGAAGAAGCTTATCCTGGAGGCTACTTTGTTGTCTTTAAGTTTGGTATAAATATTCCAAAATAATCTGAATGACTTGGGTATGTTCTTAGCTAGTGTTTAATTTACCTCTGATTTTTTGGAAGTCTTTGAAGTAAAAAATATTAGATTGTAGAAAATTGATTTAAGAATACTAGTTTATCTGCCTTTTCTTTCCCATGTGTTTTGTCTATTCAAGATCCTGAATGTGTTGAATCATCTATATTCTTTTTTTTTTTTTAATTTTATTTGTTTGTGTGTGTGTGTGTGTGTGTGTGTGTGGCCAGCTCATCCCACAAGGGGGCGGGGCTGACTGGCATGTGGTGCTGGGGGATTGAACCGCGGTCCCTGTGCTTTGCTAAGCTTGTTCTAAGTAGGTGCTTTAGACCACTGAGCCATCTCACCAGCCCCTATATTCTTTAAAAAAAAAAACAGTCTATACTTTTCTACACAGCTTAAAGTCTTGGATGAGTATATTCTAACATGTTTTAAAGAAACCCAGAAATTAGAAGGCTAGAGACTATAATTGGGGATTGAAATACTTGGGTTTTTATTCTGGTTTTGCCATAGGTTTTCTAACTTTAGGCAAGTAGCTTTAAGTTTACCTCCTTGGCTCTGTGTGAAATGTGGAACCTGGAGTAATTGATATCGGTGAGCCCTTTGGGTTTTAAAATTGGCTGGTTTTGTGGCTTATACCATTATTCATCTACAAGTTGGCCTAAAATTCCATCCTGACTTTTGAAGTCAGTCGTTGACTAAGCTCTTATTTTAATACATTTAAATTATTATTTGAGCGGGGAATTTGGAGAAGTACTTTTATCAGAAGGTCAGTGAACTGAGTTTTGAAAGGAATGCCTGTTAAGATTTATAGGGTACAGTATTTGCTTGGAGTATTTTCGCAAGAAAATGTTGCTTGGGTCCACCTCATACAACTTGAGGACTTTATCTCAAATAGTCCTCTGGGTTTTAAACAGGATATAATAGGTTGCTGCATTAAGGGTTGTGGCTATACAGCTCACATTATCTGTAGTAGGCTCCACTTTGGAATCATTATGCAAACAAACAACCACAAAAGCACGACCTCCTCTGGGAATCTGTTAACAAAAACTTTTAGCAACAATATTTTCTTAATCTGCCTCACAAAAGTTGAAGATGGCACTGTTTTTACTTTGGTGTAAACCTTTGGCTCTTTGCTAATATATCTTTATAAACAACTGTATATCTTTGAGAAAATATTTATGCTAGCTGGACCTTCATTTTCTTTTAGTTGTAAAATCTTTCATTTGTTTTATTCCAGTATTATAATAAGTTGAGCCCATCAGAGCCAAATTTTTCATAAGACTGTTGTGTTTATCATTGAATTCCTGTCATGCTACCTCTTTCACTGCTACCTCATGTAACAGATTGGTACCTTGTTCATAGTTAAATCAGTGTCTGTTGACTGTTGATCTGTCTGCTCTTTGGACATCTAGATGTCAACCTGACTGATCTTATGGGTGGTAGAGCAGCTTAAACAAAGGCATGCCACAAACAGCTAAATATGGATGCAAAATCCAAGAGCATCAAATGCAGAACATTTTTCAGATATTTATAGCCTCAAAGCAAAGTCAATTGGCTAAAAAAGCTCAGCAGCCTAGCAAAAGGAAACGGGAGTGGCAAAGCCAGTCTTACTGTCAGTGCTTTCTGGTAAACAATGAGAACATTAAAATTAACTACTTTGCTGTGAATGGATGATGAGTGTAGGACACTCTTTGGGAGAAATTTAGGATATTTGTCTTTAGAATTGCCAGTAGTGGAGCTCTGTACTCATTGGTATAATAGGTCTACAAACGTGTGTACAGATAAGCTTTTAGAGAAAAGTTTTTTTTTGGAACTGGGGATTGAACTCAGGCCTTGCACTTGCCAGGGAAGTGCTTATTCTACTAAGCCATCTCCCTGGCCCCTAGAGAAGTATAGTTAACATAATAAATGATCAGGAAGGAAGCTTCTACTTTTTAATAGCATCAGTAGGACTCATAATATTCAGTTAATAAAAGAATATCAGCATCATCATTAAACTAGTACACTTCTCATTGTTTATTGATGACAAAAAGACCTGTTGAAAAGTTTCTAAAGGTCTAAGCTATGTCTGCAAACCCAAGATAAAGGAAATTAATTATAGTACATCAAGTATGTCTTAAGTCCAGAGATGTGACAGTGGGAATTTGGTAACAATTTCTCATGAGCTGAATATAAGTTGATGAGATGGAAGTATTATTTAGTTGTAGTATGTGATATTGCTTATGCTTCTCGAATTAAGACAAAAGATGAGGTATATTTTATTGTATTTCTAGCGAGTATGTTTCTGTATTTATTTAAAAATGTTAAAAAGAAGAAAATAAAAATGTTCAATCAGTACTGAGTCCAAGAAGTTTTTTTCATTTTGAATTAGAAGTGACTAACTCGCTGGCCTATACAGAATGTTCTTAATATAATTAACTTTGAATATTCTTAGAGAATCACTCATTCTTACATCTCTTAAATATGCACCATTTTGTGATAGTATATATATAGATTGATAAAATTGTTCAACCAAGACCAAAAGTTTTGTGGGTTATAGCTAATTGATTGCTAGAATGAAACCTGAAAGTACAAGTATATGTACACATATTTGTGTTTTCATTTCCTTAATACTGTTAATTG